AATTTTTATCGCATTTCTAACAACTTTACGTTTTCAAATTTTCAATTAAAGATATATATATATTAATTATATCAGTTTTCGAATATATAATGCAATTGAAAATTTTATATGTAACCTTTGTAAATGTAAAATTATTATGAATTAAATAAATATTGAAAGATTTTAAATTGGAAAAGAAAAATTATTATTAAGCGAAATATAACAAAAAAATACTTTTCTACTATTCTTTTATTATAAAAATTATGATAATTTTTTGATCAAACAATCAACCATTATACAAAAACATAGGCATTCTCGCTACGCTTCGGACAATTATAGTACATAAACACGAAATAAATATTATTGTACTGTAAATTGCTGTATACAAAACGCAGGCTTGTTAATAGAACCAGGTCTAGCACAGATTTAGAAATTACATTATGAAAAAAAAAAATTAAAAAGTGCATACACGCTTTGCATTTATAATCGGCAGTCTAGTTATTTGAAAAAATCGCATTTGATTAATATAGATTTTGTGGTTCGCACCTGAGTATCATTATCTGTTATACTAAGAGTGGAGTACAAAGAAGTACTGTACGATTGTACGTACAAATATGTACGGACGTACGAAAATTGAACATAGTACGTATGTACGGTTAACCTAGGTTTGCATAATTAATTTTTATAGGTCCATTATCAATTTGGCACAAGGATGTGACGAATCATTGGGTGTGGCTAATAAACATTATTAATATAGTTATTTAGCTAATGCTTACTCGCCACACAGATGATTTACCACTTCCCCATGCCAACTGAAAGAGGTGACCTAATCCTTAACAAGTGACCCTTTTTTTAATGTTTAGGGTTAGGGCAAGTCGAGCATTGTTTTTTTTCGTGAGAGGTTATAGGAAAATTAGCTTTGTCTCGAAAGATTTTTCTTTTACAAACCGTACGTACTATCATGATTTTACATGTCCGTGCTAATTTACTATATACCCAAAGTATGCAGAGTATACCAGGAACAGAGAAATGTGTGTGAGATATCTATCCTTGTGACTTTGTTACTCTATATTTGTATGTCGTAACTGTTTAATGTGGCTTAGCCGCAATCACCAAAAATATGATCCAAGCCATATAACTCGAGACCTAAAATTCGCATTGATCGACAAAAGCCAAGAGAATTTAATAATGCTAATTGGATTTAGATCGAGGCGATGCTCCTTGAGGACAATAGTAAGGCGACTTTGGTGTTCAAATAGTGAGAACTAAAGCTATTGCTATGTGAATGTATATGAAATTCTCATAGAATCCCCTATCCGATACTCTAAATAGTCATACGCTTGTAAGAGTTGAATTGTAATTACAAAGCCTCAATTCTATTTACAATATATAAAAGCCATTTATTTTCATGTACTAAAAGAACAGAGTATATATGGAAGTGACAGCAGAATCCTTGGTTTTCAAACAACAAATTTCGCACCTACTTTTCGAGTAGCCTTCATTTTAGGTGATATTTTAGCCATGAGACCAAGTAGTTCAAATATAATTGTTAGGTGAAATCATTTAGCGCAAGTGACAAAAGATGAAATCTAAACCGGATGAAGGACGAAAGACGAAACCTCTGGCTAAAGTCAGACTTTTAGTGAAGATCAAATCAATTAAGACTTCAAAAAGACTGAGCCGTGTTGATGAATAAAAATATTTTGTATGTGGCTATTAAGCACCGCATTTAGCTTATATAAGAGATGTACAAAGCAATAAATCAAGCGATGGCTTTTTTGTTTGTACTCAATTATTATTAAAAGAAACTAGATTTCATACTTTTGAATTTATAATTAAATAAACTTAGCCTTGAAAATTTGAAGGCTGAAATAATATTTTCTTTTAGAACCGTTTATCTATGATTAATGCAATTATAAACAAGGTTTTTTTTTTAAATATTTAAATAAATTTAATTGTTAAACCATTGGGATTTTTCTCTTTAACATTTTATGTTAAAACTTTAAGTGCCGTATATATATAAGTACTAGTTAACATGGTTATTACTGATAATTATTTTCGATTCTCTAATAATTTTCGAGAAAACAATTGTCATGTTGACTTATGCATCAAATTTACATAGTTAGGTATAGAAAAGCGTTGTGTATCACATATTTCTTAAGTGAGAATTACACTCAAACCTCTTTATAATCACTCCCTTGGTTCTAAGAATTTTGTGCTTATATAGAGACCAAAATTTATAATCTATATATAATTTTTTGATGAAAAATTGTTACCACTTTAGTTAAAATGTGGATGTGGCGGGCCACAAGAAAAAGCACAACCAATAAATAACCCGTTTCATGTCTGATCATATTTTTTTTGGAAATGATCCTTGCCATTCCGGTGACACCAGCGAACGGCGTCGGTGTTTCGGTCACTTCTCAATCGGATACGTCGTGTAACCTACGAACGGCTTAGTCGATAAGAGGCGGTTAGATTTGGCGAGTGGATAGTTTATGATCGTAGGTATTATTATAATGACAGTAGGATATTTATTATTAGGGGACGAATTTTATTTGAATCACGAACACTCTCTATTCTCTTCATAGGGCTCGAAGCCTTTATTATATACTTTCGTTTACATAGGGCATGTTATACATTGTATTCGTGTTATATCGCTTATACTAATTATAACGTTTATACCAATTATACTGACGATAATGTCTATATCACTGATACTGATTATACTCTCTATACTGATTATAATAATTATACACCGTATCCCACTAATACCCATTATCCGCCCGATACATAGTATACATAGTATACTGCAGATACAGCATATACTGCGTATACTGCCGGTAAACCTATTTCAGGTATATGATCTACATACCCGTCACCGATCACAAGCTTCCGGCCCCACCATTCTACTGCTCACACCGGAATTGCGTGACCCAAAACCAGCGATCGTGTAACCCGATTTCTCCCCCATTGTATGCAAGAGAAGTCCCAAGATTCGGAACAAGACAGCCCACGATGCTAAGTCTGGATTAGTAAAATCACCACGACGCGACTGAGCCTTAGTACCGCAAGGACTTTTTGGGTTACGCGGCTGTAGCTCTATGGGCGGGACCTACAAAACAGAGAAGTTGGTGAAAGGAAGGAAGCTCGAGTCAAAGGATGGGATTGTGAAATTTGAATAAAAAGGAAATATTAGTAAAGAAAAAGGGAAAACGTTCCCAATACACTTCCCTGACAATTCGTTATAAAAAGTCCTCCTTTTGACCTTAAGTGGGAGAGAGACCCCTCGTCCCTTACTCTTGTATGAAAAAGAATAAATAAAATTTAAATAAACAAAGTATTAAAATTACCAACCAACGCTCTTTAAATAAGTCCTTATCATTACCCGGTAACTTGCTCGAAAATCCGCCTTAACCAGTGCCAAATCGTAACCGCCTCGTCTTGCTTTTCGAGTAACGTTACGCGACATCAACGAATTCGAAGCGACAATTCGTCACATTCTTTTTATTTTGCTGGTGTTGGTACTCCAACCGATCAGCCGCTAACAATATATGTCACGGCTGATGCAGAAGTTCACGTGACATATTATAAGACAATTTTGTTGTTATATACAGAGTTTATTTATGTTAGGGTTAGCGTTTAAAGGTTATATTAAGGTTAGAGACAGTGAGCTATATAATAAAATCAAAAAAGAAAACTTTTTTGCTAATGCATGAAAGGTTGTTTCTCTGTATTTTCAAAATTAACGTTTTGAATTTTCTAATCACAACTTACTATTGGACGATCATCATGTGAACTTCAACATCAGCCAAATTCAGCATCAGCCGTGACAGTTAGATAAAATGAAAAAATACGAATCAATTTGATTAGTTGATGTAAATCAAGTGATTGGTGAGAGTTGTCCATTTTTTGGAGAGACTTCAGCTGGGGGTGATGTTAACCGAAGAATCAATTTCGAATAGCCTAACTAAACATGAATGTTACACTAATATGCAATGTCTGACTATTGTGCAGAAGTCAATTTTTTAAAGATAAAAGATATAAACAATATTTATATTATCAGGTCGGAAGTGGTTGGCGATCACATTACCGCGACATTTTTTGCCTACCTACAATTTAATTCAAGTTTTATAATTCATTTTAAATCTGTTCGCGATTATTATCTAGTAATTAAGTCTATTTTGGCTAATGGTAACAGATTTATCTCTTATATAATAATTAAGTAAGCAAGCCTTCCTTTTAAAACGAGCTTTATCATTTGCTGCAAACATATTCCGGGCATTGTTTTTAAGCGAATAATTTCCAGAGAACTAAAATTAATTTAAATATTTTTGCAAAATCATTCCTTGTTCTCTGAAAATTATGGTTCCAAATAACGACCTAGGCATTATTTTTGCGGTATATTCAAAAAATAATAAAAAAATGCACGAAAAGTAAATTTTGAAAAAAAAATTTGGAATCAAATTTCCGAAGAATTTTAAAGTTGAAATTTATGTGACTGCACCCTCGATTGGTGGTGGTAACTCTGGGACTATTACTTAGATTCCATTTCTATTTACATATGCACTGAACTTTATAACAAAACTTAAAGTTCGGTTTAGACATAAAATGTTGTTGAGTGTTTAGTCTATTTAGAATGGTATTAGGATTATGGACATAACATTTTTGAAATAATTTAGTAATGTGAAAATTTAGAACAAGATGACAATATAATTCATTAAAAGTTTATTAAGTCATTAAAAATTACTATATAAATAGATAACTTAAGAACTTTATATAAAATATTCTTAGCAGAAATAAAAAAATTTTGTAATTGGAAGATCAAACATTTTTCAGAAAAAAGGTATAGCAACCACTATAAGACTATTTTATATATTGTAATGACACTATTTTCAAAATTACTCAATTAATAAGATAAACTACGATATGAAATTGTGATTTTTTTATCTATTAACCATTGATTATATAAGAAATAGAAATTATAAATATTTTCTTTAAATAAACGAGAGATTAAATTATTAGGGACCCACTGCACAAGCTTTTATTTTGGTTGGATCTCGGTCGCTAGGTTCAATTGTAATTGCAATTAAGTAGCCTGATGGAAGCGATGCTACTCTTGATAAATCATAGGTTTTGTCAAAGATAAACGTATTTGTTGGACATTTAGTTTTCGTGCAAATATCTACAGTCGGGCCGACGAATACGGGGGAAGGGTTTTCTGGATGTAGATCTAAAATTACAAAATTGAATGTATCACCATTAACAATAGCATCATTGGTCGTCGCTGAACCTTTAACTTCGAGATTAGAGCCAGCTTTTGGAGAGTCAGGGCTAAGTGTTACATTACTGATTGCTGGGGTATGTGAGTCACATTTTACAAACTTAGCAGCCCTTTTATTCAAATGATATGGAAAAGCATAGACCATGGAAAATGTGACCAAAAAAATGAATAATAAAGCAAGTTTTCGAATCATGATTATTTTTTTTTTCAAAAATTAACTAAAATTTTTTGTTGTACAAGAAGTTTGTGTGTGATAATTAGATTTTATTTTTTAGTTTTTTGTTTTTTTGTTTTTGACTTCATAGTAAAGTGAAATCATTGTCTTTTATAAAAAAAAAACAGTCACCTGATTTTTCATAAATTCGTTCTTTCAAATTATTAATTTGAAAATTGATAAAAATAGTCAAAAGTTTTGTACGAACAAAAAGAAGTTTATATGATTTTCTCGATAATCATCTTGCAAATTTACCAGATTTAATTGAGCGCCATCCAGATGAAAATCTCAAAGCAAATTAGCACATGAATTTTTCTGAAGGTAAACATTAATAAACAAACATTATGCTCATTAAAATCTCATGATCGAGTGGAATAGCGAAAGAAGATACTTATAAAGTCGGATTCAGCTAACAATAAAAGAATATTAACATTTCATTTTAATCTTTAAATAATCTTAATAATGATTTTTTTTTACTATTTACGAACGTGCGTACAAATAAATTTTTGAATTAACTAACAATGACATATACTACGCAGTGATGTGCATCACGCGCATGAAATTTGAAAAAAAATGCTAATTTGCATGTAAATTCTGAATCAGCTTAATTTATCAGATCTTTGAAAAAGAATTTTATGTAAATAATTCAGAAATAATTCCGAAATTATAAAGAGTTTTTAGAATAAAATAAATGTATATCATTTAATGCTAGACTTAAAGCAATAATATCTCAAGTTTAAACTTAAAACTTCGGCATAAGATAAATTTTGATAAGTGAATTCAAATTTACAACACTAAAAAGAATTTTAAATTGTAAAATAGCAAAAGTAAAAATTTTTATATTATTTACGATATAAACAAATTTATGTTACTAGAAAAGTTGAATAAGAACTCCAAATACCATAAAATACCATACTTGAATGATTGCATTTACCTTTAGCTGGAATAAGATTTAGTTGTGTATATTGTCGTGCTCGGAAAACTGCGACTCAATCCAGAATCTCGTGTAACTAACGATAAGTAACCTTTCGAATGAGGGTGTTTGGTGGGTTATTGAGGCTTTTTGGTTACTTGGGGTCAACGAAGGTCAGTAGGTAGGTCACGTGATCAATAACTTGAACGAACAACGATTTTTATGGAGTTTATAGGGTTTATACTGGGTAAAGAGTTAAGGTAATATTATTGACGATGTATAATATGAGACTTATTATTTAATAAAGCAAAACGGGACTTAATTTTCTCGGGGCAATTAGACCCTTTAATTATGACTTATTTTACTGAACAGATCTTGCTTCTACATTTTCTTCATTTTATCCGACAACTCTAATTTATTTATCTATATTATTATAATCATAAAATTCCTTTTAACTATTATATCATCCTTCCCTGATATATTTAAGAAATCGATTTAGTGGATTTTTTTTAATGTCCGTATCAAGCAAATGATCTTCTACCCGCATCACACGTGATATATTCAAATCATGTTGTCGGGCCTAACAATATTCTAATTTTATACCGGATAACCATGGTATGGATGATCCTGGTATAGGTCGGCAAAATTTATAAACGACTGAAAATAAAGTACATGTTAGAAGTATATTTGATACATTACAGCATTAATGACGGAACTTGTTTCCAAAAACAATAATAAATAATAATTAAAATTTTGCCTGTTTTTGTGCTAGTGTCACCATCGAATGGGAGAGCTTCTGACAACCATGCCGAGTTTAGCTCTTATGTAGGGGTGTGAATAGATTCTAAAAACCATAATCGATGATCGAATCTCTAGAATCGATTCTAGTATCGACGATTGAATCTCAAATACATGTTTGGCTCGTAATTCTGTCCTAAAAGCCAGTACTAGCCTATCTTTCAATTATTGATACATTAAGATTATGTAAATAGTATTTTTATAACGTTAATTAGTTACTTATTGCAAAAAGGTTTATGGCGCTTTGCAATAAAGTGTGACACTGATTTTTGTGATGGTAGTTGGAAATTTCGGAGATTTAGATTTTATATTAATTATATATTTCAATAAACAAGTGTATATATTGTTTAAAATCTTTAAAATTGTCGGAGAATCGAAAAATCTGCTAAAATCGCTGATTTTTTGCAATTTCGCATGACATCGTGATCTGCAGATGTCACACTTTATTGCAAAGCGCTATAACCTCTGCAGATCATCGTGTAATGTAAAATCGCAGGAAATTTGACGATTTTTGATTCTAAGAGAATTATATAAATTTCCAAATACAAATAGATATTACTGATCGAATATATGATTGATAGAATTTTCGAAATTCACCACTATCATTATTGCGAAATCGTGGGATCACCCATTTTTTGCAAACCATAGAATTGAAATTCACTTATGTGACTTATAATAATCCCTGAACATAATGAATGTGAAATTTTAAATTTATATTAGTTGAGTTTAAAAGTGTAGATTTGTATATTCGATAATTCAATTTCATTTGTACTATTTAATGTAGGTTAGTCAAGGCAGAAAATGTCACGGTAACATGATAGCTGACTACTTCTGTCCGTATTTAAAAGATTAATTAGTAATTAGGCCATCGATATATGGTAAGAAATAAACATAGAATTTAAATATGTTATGTGTTAATATTGCAAAGGCCGTTATCTTATAGAGACTCGTCGGAATTATATATCAAAATTGTTAGACCTGTATTAAACACCAGCTATATGTCATACCTGAAGTTAGCAACTGCTTGAAGTTGTTACTTCAAGTGCCTGAAGTTGAAATGCCTAAAATTACTAACTAATTCGATCAAGTTTCATGAATTAATTTTAGAAATGTACTTAAATTCAGAAATTGGCAACTTCAAGCAAATTTTAATTTCAAGCACAACATATATATAAGCAAAGATGAGTTTTTCGAAATTTGGATAAATTTCGGCATGGGTCATATCAATGGATTTGCGGAATAACTGAAGCATGATTTTACACTAATATGCAATGTCTGACTACTGTACAGAAGTCCAATTTTTTAAAGAAGATAAATAGATAATCATTTCAACATAAACGTAACTTATATTATCAGGTCGGAAGTGGTTGACGATCACATTACCGCGACATTTTTCTACCATGACTAATCTACCTACAATTTAGGTTTATAATTAATTTTATATCTGTTCGCGATTATTATTTAGTAATTAAATCTATAATATGTCTAACTGCTTATTCTGACTAATGGTAGTGCATTTATCTCTTATAATAATTAAGAAAGCCTTCTCTTTAAAAAGAGCTTTATCATATTGTTGCAAAATTACACCTGGGTGTTATTTTTAAGTGAATAATTTCCAGAGAACTAAAAATTAATTATAAATATCTTTGCAAAGTCAATTCTTGGTTCTCTGAAAATTGAGTTTCCAAATAACGACCCAGGCAGTATTTTGCAGCATATTCAAAAAATAATAATAAAAAAGCACGAAAAATAAATTCTGAAAAAAAAATTTGGAATCAAATTTCCGGAGAATTTTAAAGTCGAAATATTATGTGACAGTGCCCTCAATTGGTAGTAGTAACGCTGAAAGTTTACTTCTATTTACATATACACTGAACTTTACAAAAGTTCGGTTTAGACATAAATTGTTGTTGAGTGTTTAGTCTATTTAAAATGAGGTTAGGATTATAGACAACATTTTTGAAATAATTTAGTAATGTGAAAATTTAGTAAAAGATAACAATATAGTTTATTAAAAGTTTATTAAAGTTTATTAAGTCATTAAAAATTACTTTATAACTAGGCACTTGAGTTGCTTAAAAGGAGTTAAAAATGATTACGGTGTATAGATTGCACTAGTGCATTAAGTATCAGATTTAATTTGTGTACTTCTGAATAAACATTTATGCATTTATATTTATATTAATGGGTCTTGAAAAGTACAATTGCATACTAAATTAAAGCCTATTGATTATTATTATTGTAACTATAATATACAAATTGTAAAATATTGTTAAATATAATTAATATTATTTTGACATAGTTGATATAAATGTTTATAATTTATTAGTTAAAGTATATATATTCATTTCAGTAATTTGTGATCTGCTATTGTTATTGATTGCATCTCTTACTCAGGTAGATTTAGTCAGTTATTGAATTGTATATTAATAAATCAAAATTAATTATAATGTTAATGTATTTAATTTAATAATTTACTCTATTAAAGGTATTTTTCATTTAATGAAGGTATTATTAAGTCATTTATAGATACTTGAATTTTTGTCTAATTATTTTTATTAAAGATTATTATTCACTTTAAAGATATTATAAGTTACAAAAATTTTATAGATTAAAAAAACATCATAAGATGATTTAGATTTTTTTTCATAGTAGTAATTGGCAAATTTATTTGCTATCATTTTTTTTAGAAAATAAATATGATATAGATAAGCAATTAACATTAAATACTAATATGCTGAAATGTTTTCAAGAACAATTTAAATAAAAACTAAATAAAATAACATTACTAGGTTCAAAAAAATTATTTAATAGTTGTTTGTATATTTAATATAGATATGTTAACTGATTTTGATTAGAAAATTATACTAATAAAAAGGTTAGTCTAATTGAATTTTTTTAAAATTGATCCTGATTTATGATTTTTTTATTAACTCATATTAATTATGATTCTGCAATTTGACTTGATTTGGTTTTATTTGATCAAATATTTAAGTTTAAATTAACTTCAAATCCGAAATTTTTAAATTAAATTAATTCAAATATGATCTAATTTGATTTAATTTAATTTGAAAATTTATAATTAAAATTTTAAAATTATAAGTCATTTATTTAAAATTTTATTAAGATAATTATTTTTTTTATTTTATGAAACTAGAAGTATTTTGTTTAAAAAATATTTATATTTAAAAGCTCAACATTAATTAATATAGTAAAATTT